ATATAGGAATTCAATGACGAATAACTGTTCGCCTTAGATCAAAATAACAGAAAATAGGCGCAAATTCGAAAAATTATTGTTTGAAAGAGAGCCATGCTTAAATTATTTTGCGTTTAACTCAGTGAAAGACATCGGAATGTCATGCCGTATTTCATAACCATGAATTATTAAAGTATTAAATATAATATTGTTCCCTTTTTTTGACCTAATTTAATACAAAATAATGAAAAAAAGTTTGACAAATATGTATAATAAAAGTTCCGCATCAAAAGGTAAAAGCGATCAACAATACTTTTTTATATCCCTCTTTGCATCTAAATCTAAATATAGCCTAAAAACAATGCGAAGATTTATGATATCCTTGAAAAAAAAGTCGACCTTTGATACTAGTTTTTTACCAGTTTTGCATTGCTAAACGGCGACGTTTTTCACTTCAACTGTAAAATTGATCGAGCCAAGTTCTTTATCTGTTGGCACGACAAGTAAAAATACCACTCAGAAACTCGAGCCGTGAGCACCTTGCCCATTTATCAGGAAAAGCTCTGGTTTCGCCAAGGGAGAAGACAATGCTGGAAGAAAACGAAACCATTCCAAACCAAAATACTTTAGAAATTATCACCAAAACCTCCTTGGGTCCTACCAGGATGATCGAGGGACACTTACAACAGCAAAATCCTTTTAGAACTATTTCCCGGGGATTGGTTCAGAAAAGCCCCTAAACCTCCTCCCCTAGATTCGATCGATTTTGTTGAGGGCTCTTTAAGGAGATTTACACTGGTTGTAAAAACTTTTAGGTGGATAAAGTACGTTCAAGGTGGGATTTTTTTTTTGTTCGAAATCTCTGGAGCCAATGTATAGTCGTGGCACATATGAATAACAATGCTTTCTATAAAGCGAGAATGGGTTGGCTGGGATTTCTTCTTTACTCGTTTGCGCCACCTGTTTGATGTTCTTAGTAGACATAAGAAAATCACTTTATTGAATGCCGTTTTAGTAGCCAAGAATAGAGTTAGGCTAAATGAGATAAAGGGGAGGATGGCTTTTCCCTAGAGGTTAGAAAATCGTGAATTAAATGAAGGGAAATGCTTGTATCAAGAAAAAGCTTTAGACGGTTTTCAGCTTTGAAAGTACTCAGCTACTCATACACAGATCAAGTAAAAAAGACGTTTATGTCTTTAGTAGAATCCTATTTTGTAAAATATGGAAAATTATTCTTGGTAACTCTTACGTTGCATCGGTTTTTAGTCACTGAAACTGCCGACATGAAGTGTGTATTAAATTATTATTTTTTGTTTCTGTAAATGCAGTTTGTTTGTGCAAATGGATTAGACAAGTGATTGAATTTCACTACAATTCTGTAAAAAAAGACGCAAGCTCTTAGTGAAAGAGTATTTTTATTTTATTTTTTGATGAAATAAGAATGGTTTATAAAGATATTACTGTAATGTAACGGAATATAATGTAAAATATATTTTCTATGCAATCTAACAAAATCTAAATTATATATTTCCAGAAAGTATGTGTCCATATTCTAGAATTATATCTTTAAAAATTTAACATTTATTTTCTGGAACTGTTTAATAAAAAAAGGCTTATTTTTAATGTATTTCTGAATAAAAGAAATGTTCTTAAAAATAAAAATCAATATCCGTCTGTATATCTCAGTGTATTTAACTACTTGCGTAAGACAAACGTGCTTACACGTCAAGATGCTTTCGTCACAAATTCACCAATGACGTGCTGATCACGTTGGCAACTATCGCAGCCATTAGGGTGGATTGATCGTTTTATACTTTTTTTTTAAAACTGAAATTGCTTTCAGTGGGAAAAGTTGTGCATTGGTACCAAATGTTTGTAAAAATTAATTCTTGAAATCAAAGTATATTTAGTATCCCCACAGGGCCTTTAAAATTTCTCTAATATTAATAAATACTTCATTTATTATTTAAATTTTTAATTTTAGATCAAAGTCTTAAGCCACCTGCTATAGAAATCGTTGCTTAATAAGATCTTTTGTTTGTGAACAAAAATATTGTTATATTAAATTATACTTATCACTCTCACTAGGCATTTGAAATTCATGCATTTTTGAAATTTTAACCCCAAGGCAGAGCTTTTATTAAATATATTTTAAAAATAAAATGTATTTTAAACTTTTTTTATTTAATAATACTACTGAACTGCGTAATATTAAATTTAAATTGCAAAAGAAAAAGACAACAGAGAACCATCGATGTACGTGAAAGTGTTATAGCAATTTAGTACTGGATAACTTCAGATAGACGTGGTGCACTAGCTGAGCATGAGTGCTTGGTTTTAGTTTTTAGTATTTTAGTTTATTTGGAAACAAAATAATTCTCTACAATGGATTTACATGCAATGGCATCGAATAAAACAGCAGTCAATACTGAGATGAAACTGGGTGCAATGCTAGTCTTTAAGTTGCATGCTAGAAGAACGTTGCAATTGCTCATATGCTATTTGCATGCCAATACGCTACTTTTACAACATTTGTCACCGTTTCTAAAAGGAAATGTTATAGTTCCGTTTACATATTATATTTCTATTTTAAAACTTATTTGATACAGATGAATAACTACCTATTTTGAAGTTTAATAAACTCGATGTTGATTTACTCACAGCGGATGATGAACTTAATACTGACCTAAAGTATTTGATTTAAATATGTCGAGCGATATATTTTGGAAGTAGTCCAAAATCACTGCTAAATGTTTAAACTGGAAAAATGTCCTCCTGCAACGTAGTTTTCAGCATCAAATACAGACCTTGGCCTACATATTGGCACAGAAGATCAATTGCTTGAGATGGCAGAAATTGTGGAATATATACTGTAAAAATGCACAAAAAAAGCTTTGTCTTCAACTAAAAATGAGAATTCACGCACAGACGGCGGTGCAGAGCAATTGGGAAGTCATCTGCAACTCAAGTTATCTCTGTGGTAATTTGAAATTAGTAAACGTTATAAGACAAGGAAATGATTTTTGTAATCATCTATAAAAAATTACTGATTGCCATGATCAAAAATTTAAGTATCCAGCTTGAGGATAAACTGTTTTTAGAAGAATGCTGAAAGTCTAAAGTTTTAAGGCAAACGAATTGATCTATTAGCAGATTTTGTTTTCTTTCAAAAACTCCTTAGACGAAACATATATTAAAGTATAGCTGGAGGTGGCTTTAGTTAATTTTTGGTTTCTAAAAGAAATACAAATACTGAACACAAGCACACAAATTTTCCAACAGCAGGTGATTTCGCAAGCAGGCAATATCGGCGATTTGAACAAGAAAAACTAAAACTTGTCTCACCCTAAGAAAGACAGGAAAGATATTCGTGAAAGAAACACAAAATTACTAAAAATAGTTCCTATTTTTCTTCGAGCACGTAACATTTGACACTGAACACTTAATGCATCGCTGTGAGTTGCAGACGACTATTTTGGTCAGTGCATCTGTGAGTTTCTTTCAAGCGCAAGTGGTTAACAGGATGTTGATGTACTGCACAATTTGCACGCGAAACTAGTTTTACCATTTCATAAGGTGTGTACTGGAATCAAAGACGCCTGTTCTTACTGACACTATGACATAATTTTTTTATACTACNTAAAAGTGCGGGCTTTGCGCCAAAGTGACGTCACTGGAGAAAATCGGAGGATTGGCGCGGCAAGCGAGCTACTTCAAAGGAGTGAACCAGCCCTTCTATTCTCTTTAGTCCTGGAGTAAACCCACCTTAAAGAGTCATACTTTTCTTTACTAACATTTTATGCCTTCCAAGAAATTATGAATCATTTTATATTAAACCCTATAGTACTAGCAAAGAAATCACATACAAAGAAATATTTTGTAACAAAAAAGCAGCATGTAATAACAAAATTGAAAATATGATCTTCTACATAATTCCAATGGAGAATTGGGTGATGGTTGTTAATAAATGTTGAATTAATATAGTACATAAAATGAAAAATATATAGAATGAACTCGGGATTTTCCCAACCGTTACAAAACTTAGGTGAATATTCCTTGATTTATCGTAGGAAAAATCTCGAGTTTTCGATTGATCTATTGATTACTTTTTACATATTAATTCTATTGACCAACGAATTTGACTGCGTTTGTTTTTAACACTTGTCAGTTTTGAGGTTTTGAGCCTGGAGAATTCAAAAATTGGAATTTTTTCACCAGGCAGATATAGATAAGTCGTGGGAGTTCATTCCATATAGAAAAATAACAGTTAATTCTATATCGAAAAATTTAAAAAAAAATTTGTTAGCTCCAATACCATAACGATATAAGATAAAAAAAATCTTTATCTATTAATCTATACTATTTCAAAAATTTAAATTTAATTTTACGTTAGTTAAACAGAGACATTTTCTTTCACAAATGTCAGAGAAATAAATACCACTCTTTGTTTAAGTGTAATCAATTCAATAGAATCCATTTCTAAAGAGTAATTATTGTTAAAAACGTGCAAATTATTTAACACATTAAATTTTCGAAAAGAAGATAAAAAAATTGTAATTGGAAAAATTCAATAAAATAAATTGTTACATTAAATAATACTAACTAGAAGAGATTGTAGAGATTTAATCAAACAATAAAAATTGTGAATGAAGCAATATCTCTATTTGGATAAATAAACTGCATTAAATAATGGCATTTGCAGCTTAAAATTCTTTAACTTATACAAATAAACCTATAAACATAGTTCCTCTATTAAATATTAATATTTTATTAATAAATATATCAACACAAAATGCAATTTTTCAAAATAAAGAAAGAATATGAGCATTCCTTCATATTTTTTGAAATTACCATGAATTAGTTAAATAGCCTATCACTAAATACACTCCTCAAAAGTGAAATTGCAACACCAAGAAATAATGCACGTAGCGTCATGCAAATTTCAGGAGTGATAGAAGTGAGATGGATATGCAAATGATTAAAAAACAGACTAATAAAATCATTATAAAGCAATTTATTCACTATCTAATGTGGCCACCTCGGACAGCTATACAGGCCTCAATCCGGCGAGGCATGCTATCAATGAATCCATTGATGGTTGCCTGAGGTAACCTTTGCCAAGCCACATCCACTGCTGTGCGCAGATCATCGATGGTTTGCGCCATTGGTCCTCTGTTCATGCCACGTCCAATGAGATCCCATATGTGTTCTATGGGATTCAGATCTGGAGAGGCTGCCGGCCTGGGAAGGATGTCAAATCCAGGCTGTTAAGAGTTCGCCGTGCGACATGCGGCCTGGCATTGTCTTGCTATAATACCGTGTTGGGTGCGCCCTGCAATAAGGGCAGAACAACGGGATACACAACTTTTGTGACGAAGTGGTGCGCTGTCAAACTGCCGTGAATGTGTACCGGGGGCGTTATGCGATCAAGCATTATGCCATCCCAAACCATCATGCCCGGTGTAGGACCGTTGTGACGCTTGGCGTAATGGGCTGGTTCGTAGCGTTCTCCGGGTCGCCGCCATACCCGTCGACGGCCGTCATTTCTCCACAGACAGAAACGAGATTCATCCGTGAACAATACCCGATGCCATTGGATGGTCCAGGTACGATGACGATGACACCAGGCCAGGCGTCTAGCCCTGTGTAAATCGGTCAACGGTACCCCTGTTGCTGGTACCCGTGCACGTTACTGTACTTCATGCAGTCGGTTGCGTATGGTTTGGATGGACGCAGATCCACCTGCTCCTGAAGGCAACTGGCTTCGGATGGCACATGCCGCGGAGAAAGGGTCTCGAATAGTCAACTGGCGAATACGCCGGTCTGTGCGCTCTGACGTGCACCTGTGCGCACCACTTCCTCTTCGGCGTGCACGTAGGCCTTCCTGAATCTATCGTGTGGCACAACGTTGGATGGTATTCACGTTGTGCCCAACACGAGTTGCTATTGCGCGCAGCGCCATACCAAGTTCATGGAGTTCGATAATACGGTCACGTTCCCCAGTCGTTAACTGATGGTATTGAGCTCGCCGACGTCTCAGAGGCATTTTCTACGCTTTTTGGAAAGTCGCAAATGCTACGCAAAAACCTCAGATACCGTTTATGAGAAGGGAAAGTTGCTGGACTTTATAGCCCGAATATGCGTACCACGTGATCAGATGCGTGCGCAAATTTAATCATTTGCATATCCATCTAACTACTATCGCTACTGAAATTTGCATGACGCTACGTGCATTATTTCTTGGTGTTGCAATTTCACTTTTGAGGAGTGTAATTACAATTGAACTGATGCAAACAAACAGATAACCTAACAATACATATATATATGTTTATATATATATTGGCGGGACTATTGCAATTATTTCATGTTAACCGGGATTATTCTGATCCACGATACATCATGATAACAATTTATTACATACTATTAATCCTCATTATGTACTGCATTAATGTATATGGGTGATTCTCACGAAACATGAAACAATTTAATTTTTCATGTGGTTAGATCTAGAAAAATCATTTGGAAACAAAAGTTTAAAAACTTAATTTAGTTTGCCGTTACTAGTTTATTTGACGTTTGAACCACATTTTTTTTTCCAAAAAAAAAACATTTTAAATGCACTAAAGAACAATATTATATAAAAATAAATATATTTAAACACAAGAAATTCAATCTAATCATAATAATATACTATTGAGATATTCAAAATAAAATATTTAGATTACTACTCATATTTAATATTACTAAAATATTTAATCATAACATTGAGAAAGAAAAAAAAATGAGAGAAAAAAAATATATATCTACAGTAAATCCTTTCCATTAGCCACACTTNNNNCACCCATCTCATTGATCAAGAAGCAGTAAACCTTTAGTTACTTTACTAACTATATCTACTTATGCATAATTACTTATTATTTAATAATAAGGTATTTAAATTTCAATATTAATATATTTTTCATAAAACTATTGTTACACAGAGTACTATTACTTTAATAAATGTTTAAAATCATAAAATAAATGTACAAGCACAGTATCTAATAGAGTTTTATTTTAATTAACAGAAAATTACTTTTGTGGGGGTCGATGGAGATTTCAAAAAATTATATAGGGGTCGATGATCAAAAAAGTTTGGCGACCCCTGGTGTAGGGTATATCGGACAAATATATACCGGGCAGGGGCACTCAACTAGACCTAGTATATATTAAGGACATTCACTTGTGGAAGTCAATAACTACTAATTTTGGTCATTCACAGTAACATATATATTTGAACAATCATATGTGTTTGTTAAATATATATGTTACTGTCTTAGCAAACATATGTGCTAGCATTTATTCGTTTTTTTTAAAATTTATTTATTATTTGTTAGCAAACATATGTGCTAGCATTTATTCGTTTTTTTTTAAATTTATTTATTATTTGTTAGCAATCATATGTGCATGACTACTTAATAAATCAAAATGAAAGGTAATTAGAACACAGGAGAATATTCTGGATCAAAATGTGGTAAAGAAAATACCACTCAAGGTGCGGTACTTTTTATCGTAAATTTAATTTTTACTGAAACATGTTATGAAACAAAAAATCTGACACACCGTAATTTTTAACAGCAATAATTACCATAAAATTACTGAATCATTCTTATTAAATAAATGAAAAAATTACAGTATTATATTTTACGATAAAAATGAATTTTCTCGGATACCAAGTTTGATCTGGAATTTATGACAGAGTAGGTATTTTCTACTTTTTTGCATTTTTATTACATATATTTATAAAAGCACTCATAATAAATATTTTTATATATATATATATATATATATATATATGAGTTCGTATGTGTGTAAATGTATAGATAGATAGATATTAAACAATAATTGTGAAAAATCAAATGAGCTGTTATATTCCCTATCTCATTAGCTTTAATGAATTTATTAATCATTACACATTCCACTATTATAAATTTGAATAAAATTAATTACTCTAAATTTTTAGGCATATTATTTCGGAAAACCCTAGAGAAATAACGTCCAAATATACTTTATTTTTGGCATGGAAGTGTTGGCTGTAATTACATTCGAGCATTTCAAATTACCAGCTCACTTGTATACTTTAAACCAACATTCTCCCTAAAGCCGTTCTCTTTTTGAAGAGTCCCAAAGTGACACTCGCAGAGATTACCACAAACATTCGACTCTTCAAAACGAATACAGAGAGAGAGAGAGAGGACTCGAAAACATTCTCCGAATTTCATTAACGGCTTTATGTAAATCTCACATCAACGAAGTATCAAGAAGATTCAAGTTTGAAATCGTTGTACAATTTCCTGTTAATGAACTGTGAAAATCTGGTACCAGTTGTATCGAAAAGAGAAGTAGCTTGAAGTTGATGTTAAAGTGTAGTATTTTGGGCAATTAAAGTTTCGAGATAACGTTAGGTACAAAATTGAATGTTGTAATGCTTTAAAGTTATTGCATGCAAAGAAAGATGTTGCTTTGTAATTACGCGCTCTTTTCAAAATCTTTTTAAATAGTTCTCCTATAAATATTTTGTTGAATAGTTTGGAACGAAGCTCGATTTATTCTATTTTCTCAAGTTTGTTTTCGCTGATGTGTAATGTAGTTTTAACATAAAAATTTAGGATATTTTTCATTGTCGCGCGCGTTTTCTATTGCGAATTATGTTTCTATGCAGATTTATATTATACTTATTTTTCAAGAAAAAATTGATTTACGATTTTTTTTTCTGTATTGGAAATGAAAATGTTCTCCAAATTTCCTGAACTTTCAGTATAAATCTTGCAAAAACGAATAAAAATTTCAGTTAAAGCTATATTCTTTCTTGCTGAAAATTAAGTTTTTTCTTATATGCTTCAAAGTATTTCTATACTGTGCATAATAAGAAAAAATAAAGAAAATCTTGAATAACTTTTGATCCAATGATTGGACCTTCATGTTCTAAGTCTAAATCGTAATGACTCGAGAGGGAGACCTCAAAAACGCAAATTAATTAATGCAGAAGATGTTTGAAGTTAGCTAAATAAATCATAAGAAATCGAATTTTTTTAAAAAAATCCCGTTTTTAAACTTTGATTTTTCAGGAATTATTCGACAGATTTCACAAAAGTTTTGTATTCTGCCACGTAAAATTACATTCATTAAAATTTTGTAAGCAAGTGTACTTTCTTGAAACTCAAAATTCGAAATTTTATGCAGCTATTGTGAAATAAAATAATAAAAAATAACAAATATTTATTAAAAGTTGTTAATTAAATGGAGTAATTATCTTTGAATAAACGATGTTTATAATGTGTGCAAAAATGCTTCGATGTGATTAAAAAGTTCTCGTAAAAATTAAATTAGCATTAAGAGGTCTAAACTTCATACCACTCTCCTGACAAAAACTATTGTGACCATATTTCTCAGTTTGAAACTAACCCCTATGTTTTGCGAGTGAAATGTCTAAGCGTTTATTCAGAGAAAGTACCTTTTTGTGCCCTATTTTGTAACATAAACTATCGCCTGCGTTAATTAATTAGCTTACTTGAGGTTGCCCTTTCGAAGCATAAAGATTGAGTCCCAGAACGTGAAAATCAAAATTTATTCTGGGTGCACCACTTACATTACCTTTGTATTTTGCGCGTTGTGCATTAATGATGTAAGTTATTGTCATCTAATGTGAAAAATGTTCAAATTTTTTGTTTTTATAAGTAATTCTCGTGTTAACAAAAATAGATTCATTTATCAAGATTTATAGATTTTTGTATTTAAATTGGTAGTAATAAGAACCACAACAAAGTGCGAAAAAAAATATTTTAAATAATAAAAGTTGCAGGGGTGACAACTGCTCTTTCCGTTAAATTATAGAGAAAAAGAAACTTCCATAAACTTGGTTAATTTTTCTATCCCATTATAAGATTATAACGAACAATGGAATAAAAATATGTTTGATATGAGCTTTTAAATAATTTAGGTGTTGTGTTGAGAAAAATAACTTTATTTAAAATTGACTAAACTAAGATTGATACATTAAAATAAAAACTTTATAACTAGTAGAAAGATTGACTCCACAAGGTAAAACAAGCTGGTGTCGAAGAATTTGAAGATTATCTGTTCTAAAAAAAGAAAACAATCTTTATTGTAGAAATATGTTATTTTATTATGTTTTGTTGATTATTTTTATTTTTCATGGTTGTTATTCATTGAAACTACCGGAAATTATTTTAGAAGTATTATTA